CCTACCTCAAAAGATTCCACACAATCTGGTTCAGTAGGAAAGGGTTCAACGGAATTTTCCATTGGAACCAGAAGCCTTGAAGAAAGTAGTACGCAGAGTCTATGGTGATCCATTGTAGATGCCAGCCATGCCTTAGTACCAACAACTATTTTCAGATCGAGTTGTTGAAGAACTTCCGCTTTCAAGACATGGCCGGATTCTAGAGTTTACCATATTTTCAAGAGAAGACTTCAAATCCAAAATTGAGCATGTGAGCAGATACATGGCTCAGTGCGGTGGAGAATATGACAAGTAATGACTGGTTTAAATTGCAGCTTTTTTCCTTGTCATCAACAGGACCAACATCCAGTTGGTATGCTTCTTTCCATACCAACTCGGTGCACAATTAGGTAGAGATAGAACATGCATTTTATTAACGGTTTTATAGTCCACTGTCTAAGGTGACAATTAAATAATTAACCGGCTTATGACAGAAGTCATACGAGTCAGTTGAGTAGTTCCTAGAGCGATTCTCATGGGCAAATAGTAGATACAAGGTCCGTAACCCTGAGAATTAGATGGTCAATATTGCAAAGATAACATGCATCTAGTTGTCCACGAGAAGCTAGCCTTACAAGAATGCTAAGACCTAAGGAAACGGATGTCCGGGGCAGTCAAGGTGGAGCTAATTTTAAAGGATGCCCAGACGGCCTGTAATCAAAGGTACCATGCAAGTGCTCATTGTGTACAGGTACAAGAGGATCCGGACTTGGAAGATGACATCATACAAAGGAAGCATACACTTGCCTACCCTAAGGAAATCCCGACGGATAGACACCAATTCACGATAACAATACTCAATTGACATCAGCAAAATTGAAATAAATCTTTGAGTATTTGTTGCGAGACAATCAAATCAGGTTGAAGGAAGGGAAATTTCTTTTCAGAAGATATGGAATTTGAGGGCAAGACATTTTTCAAGTGGTATAATATTTACAACCATTGAGTTAGAAACTGCATAGTTTCCCGCAATATGGTACAACGAGCTATTAAAGAATGGAAACTCAAACTAAAAAATAAGCCAAATATGAAAGTTGATATTAATCTATTTCCAGCTCCATTCAACGTAGTGGGCATGTGTCCGAACCAACCACATCCTAATAGGTCTAAACCATGGAGAAAAGGCAAAAATTGCAAAGGCCCAGTGTCTTCTAGAAGGTTGGATATGATGCTGGCCCGTTGAGGAGATCTTCCGCACCAAATAGAAGGATCTCTGCTTAGGATGGACTTTTACCACATAACATAGTGGCAGAATTCAGCTTCTATAAAGATAACCGAGTCTGGAAGATCACTTATGTGGATCGGGTGGTGATTAATCCGCAACCCACTAGGCACACAGAGCAATCCCCAATAGATGGTAGATGGGTGCTAAATCAGTGGAATAATAAGCAGAAATCCTTAACCAGATCGCAGAAGCGATGGATTAAACACCGCCGTAAGACGGAACATAAAACTGTTCAGCAGACAAACGTCCGCTACCAAGTAGAACCTATGAATCCTAATGGAAGTTACAGTAATCCAAATCAGCATGACTTGTATAACCACCGAAAATGATGAATGAAAGGGGGCCTAGACGTATTTTGGAGGAAGGCATCATGCATTGCAAACTCGGCGGCAACTTTCCAAAAGACTCCTCTAGCAGCAACTTACTCGAGGTTCAATCAGATGATCCACTAAGGTGAAGCACTCTTTGATGAGAATGATGAATCTGAGGCCAACTTTGAGGTTATCGTGATTGATGAATTTTTGAAAGGGCAATGATTACCATCATCATGATAGGAATTCTTCTGAAGGAGTTCATTGCTCCTCCTGCTCAGCCCCAATTTCTGCAGGGAGATGTCATGGTTGGTGATTCTAACCTGTTTTGTGGACTGGCGACGCGAACGAACCAACAAAAGTTAATCAAGAGGACATGGTGTTCAAGAAATCAACTGAGAAATCTACCTAGCATTTGAAGCCGTTTTTCTTCACCATCATGTTATATGAGTGGATAATAAACAGAGTATTAGTGGATGGCGGGGCTACTGTCAATATCATGATGTTAAACACACTAAAGAAAATTTGATAGACTAGGAATGATTTTGATCGCAACTGCCATAACAACGACGGATTCCATGGATAATGCTCACAGAGCCGCCGAGGTTGTGAAAAAAATTGTCATTGTTTAAATAGTTGTGATCTATTAGATTTGGTGGCTTTAATATTGTGTCAAGAACTTTTGTGCTAGTTATCTTAAAAGGATCCTACAACGAAGGCTCAAGAATACTAACTGCACAAATAGAGTTATAAGTAACGCATACATTATCAAGTATATTAAACCCACCAAATCTATTGGATCAAAGTAGTTGGTTAAAAAGCTAAAGACTAACAATAGTTATCACAAAACTCTGTTATTTTTTCCAATAATCATCAAAATAAATTCCTCAGCAACAACACCAAATTCTGATGGAAATTTTTTATATCACAAATTGAACGGTAATATGGTCCATATCATGGTTTAAACTTACATATATTGTAGCCCAAAAATTATCAAAAATAATAATTTTGTTATGATAACCGATGAGTGTTGAGTCAAATTTAGAGAATTAATATTGAGGAAATAATCAAATACAAGTGCACGCATATCTGTGATTTTGCAAAAAAAAATAAAAAATAATTACATAAAACTAAATTAGATTTGATTAGCAAACATTATTTGCTTGGTCAAAATTCTCGTTATGCATTCCATGAAATAGTTATTTCATGTAAATGTCAACTAAAGATGATAACAAAATGAAGAATAATAATATTTAATTAGAAAAAATGAATTTGCGACTATATTATGAAAGCAATAGATTTATCTAATTATAGAATATAAATCTAACGAGGTGGTGAAAAGCTGAGCACACAACTCCTATCACGAGTAATACTAGCCATCCAGAGACACTCTTTGGAGTAGAACTTGAGGTCCAAAAATGAAAATGACAAATGAAATTGGGATGGTACAATAGTAAAAATGACAACGCTTCCAGATGATTATTTCTTATTTACAACTAACATCCAGTTGACCGTTAATATCACAACCGTCGCAAATATCAATGGTTGATCGTCCTCACACACCAAATTGGATTTCACAACCTTTGTAAGGTAAGTCAAGATAGATTTTTTAGTTGATTTTCTCATACTTTGTGAGTAACAAACTTTTAGCATCATGAACTTTTTAAAACATACCGACATGAATTTTCTCTTTTCTACTACTTAGCTTCTACAAAGTGGCCTTTTGGTCCAATTTGCGACCAAATATACTAAAAAATACCCATACATATCAAATTATAATAATACTATCATCAAAATTATGTTAATATGATCGAGCACAAATTTTAAGAAAAATTAGTAAAAATAGATTTTTTTTCCTTTAAAAGTAAAGTAAAAATAGTATTGTTTTTACCAAAAAAAGGAAATGAGAATAATTTTTTATAACCAAAAAATAAAAAAAATAGACATAAATTTTAATGACAGAGAAATATATTTTTTAGGCATGTTGGCAAGTTTAGTACAACAAATCATTTAGAATCGACAAAATCTTCACAAAAACAACTAGGTGAACATATTCAAAATCCCCACTATTAGTAGAATATATAATATTGATGGAAAATAATAAAAAAAAGAAGAAATTACATATATTATCCTTATTAAGAAAATTACGTCATCATATATTATCGATTTTATTGTAATAACATACATATTATGAATATGTTGTTAATATTATATATGTCGTCTGCTTATTGTCAAAATGATATAATATTACATTATAAGTTACCAATATAAATATTAAGTAATATCTTAAAGTAAAGAAAATATGTCATTCGACAATTATTATACATTATAAATAGGGTCTCATCTGGCCAATTATTCATCGAAACCTCAAGAAAATATATTAAAAATTATGGCTTCCTATACTTATGAAAACGTTGTCACTTCTAAAATTTCACCCGGAAGACTGTTTAAGGCATTCTTCGTAGATGGAATGCAACTTCTACCGAAGGTGGTTCCAAATAAAATCAAAGGATACGAATTTATTCATGGAGGGGGTAAACCAGTGGGATCTATATATCTACTTCATCTGGATGAAGGTAATGAAATTGAATGAATGAATATATATATATATATATATATATAAATTGTTTTTTTTTTTTTTTTTCACTTTGTCATTGAAGCTCCGAAATAGATTTTACAAAGTTTGCGCTTGAAAGAGAGTTTGAAAATCTCACATTCAAATTGTTGTAGTGGAAAAGAAATTTAGGGTATATGTAGTTGTGTTTTGTTTTTATTTTGTTGTTTTGAATCCTCTGGTTTTTTAGAGGAATATTATTTCTAGATGTTAATATTTTGGGAGTAAAATAGCACATTAAATAGGAAAAAATAATGTTGAAATTACTCAAACAAACACTTACTACAAAATTTCTTGATTTTTAATTAGAATATATTGCACATATTATATTATGTTTTGTTTCAAGATATTAGATCTAATTTTATTTTCAAAATATTGTATAAATATTTATTTATATCATACTATTGCTTTCAAAACATTGAAACACGGTAATAAAAAAACACCTAATAGTATACCAATGTATTAATTTAAATATAATGTATCAGATCCTTCCAAATTGAATCTGATATGAATCGAAATTGTTTGTGTTGCAGAAATTTTTGATATCTTTGATTGAAGTTTTTTCGTTTAATGAAAAGAGAAAATTTGAATTTATTTTTTTAAATGAAAATTTGTATTGTACTAAATCTTGAATGAAAGTAAACTTTGCATAGAACGACATTTAGATGCCATATTTTTTAAGGACTCTTTACCATAAATTGAGTAATAGTACTGATACTAAAATCCAAAACCCGATACTTCAATTTACTTGATAAGAAGGAATTTATGAAAACATAATAATATACACACATATGTATGTTGGATATTATAAATGTGTGTTGATGAAGGTACTCAATCAAAGACGTTAAAGGTGAGGGTGGATCACTTTGACAAGGACAATCTGATATATAAATCCACGCTGCTCGGAGGAGAAGGTTTTGGAGATTTTTTGGAGTCTGTCTCGAGGGAGACAAAGATAGAAGCGAAGCCAGATGATGGAGGATCGGTGGTTAAAATCATCACGACGTACCGCACAAAGGAGGAAGTTACATCGGAAGGGAAACTGAAGCAGCTTGAAGCGAGCATCAAGATTGGAGATAGGAAAACTGAGACGACCATCAAGGCTGTTGAGGCTTATCTCCTGGCTAATCCTAATGAGTAGACAACCTGATATGATGATTTTAACAGCTAGGGATTCTAAGTCCTCTTATAATAAACCATTTAATAAAACTAATTACCTATGATGGAATTAGTTTTTAAAATAAGTATTGGATATAATGTGAGAGGCATATCGATAATAATTATGATTGGATTGGTGCCTCAAATTTGTTTGAATCTAGTTACTACTAAATTGCAAGCACTTTTGTTGCATCGAACAAATTTATTAAAATTCATCCAATCTCAATTAAAGTTCAAGAACAAAGTCAAGTGTATTATTATCATTTACTGGTGTGTGTATGTTGATTTATTATAATTATTATTATTATTATTGTCAAAGACAAAAAAAAACTTATGTTTTCTATTATTCATTTACAATCAAAGTACAATATTTATAATTGTTATAGGTACATTTAAGTAAGGAAAGAAAATGAAACTAATCTAGTACAATGAATCAAATATTTTGCTTTAAGATGTATATGTTTTATTTAATGCTAGAATGTATACTATTTAATAGTATGATTATAATTAATACTAGCATATATAAATACACATATATTGTATAATATTAGGATATATTCCGACAGTCCTTAAGTTAGAGATTATCTATCATACATTCCTAGCTTGCTACATAACCGTGAAATCACTTGACATTTATTGCCTTAGCGAGGACATCAACTACTTGACTAGAAGTGGTAAATGAAGTTATATAAGTCATCTACTCAAGATAGGCTCAGAAACACAATGATAGTTAACTTCTATATGTTTTGTTCCTACACAAAAACTTGATTACTTGCAATATGAATTGCATCATTATTGTCACAGTGCATTCTAAAAGGCTCTTGGTAGTCAAACCCAACTCCTCTAGAAGATTTTTTAACCACATCACTTCACTGCCAATATGAGTCATTCTTATCGTTGGTTGTTTTTTACTTTTCCATGTATCAAGATTTCCTCCCAAATAAGTCCCACAACCAATGGTAAATTTCCGGTTATTATTATCTCCCCCATAGTGATATTCCCAAATTTGACCATATTTATTCCATGTAAAATATGTTTATTACTTAGTATTTTTGTGCAAAATCATTATGTCATTGGATTTATGACATAGATTATCATTATATTTTATTTAAAATGATCCAGACTTGTCATCAACACAGGCATGTGTAGCTCCATCTTGAGAGTATCCAAGATCTTACAATAATTTCATCAATCAAATCGCATGACAAACATAGGAAGCATCATAACGTACATATTCATCTTGACATGTAGATAGCGCTATAATTGATTGTTTCTTTGAACTCCAAGAGAATTTTGTATCTCCCATGTAAAACCCCTAATAAGAAGTACTTTTCCCATCATCAATATTTTCTCCCCAATCACAATCATGGTAGGTAATCAAATTGAAGTCATCATCAATGGAATAAGAAAAAAAAAGAAACTATTGTACCACTTATTTCTTAATATCCTCTTAGTTGCCTTCAAGTGAATATGACTTGCGATTGGATAGAATAGCTTACTTGACCAACTCCACAAAGAATATATGGCCTACTACAGGTCAAATATATCAAACTACTTGATAGCCTTCAGAATATTGTAGGTTTAACTTTCTCGACACCATCATCCCTTGATATTTCAATCCATATTGAACAGGTATTTTGATAGGATTTGAACTCATAATCCCAAATTCCTTTAACATACACCCTTTGACAAATAGAATTCCGTTCATCACGTTGTTTTACCTCAATGCCTAAATAATAAGACATGAGGCCCAAATCTATCATCACGATTTCATTGGCCATTTGCCTCTTGAAACCACTGAACATGTCTAGATCATTTCGGATGTAAAATTCAAATCATCAACGTACAAGCGTATAATCATGATTCTTCCATTTTAGGTTTTTAATACAAATAAGGCAAATTCATATGGCCATTTTGTAAACCTATTTTCTGAAAGTGCTTATAAATTTGGATGTACCACATCTTCGATACTAGATTAAGTCCACACAAAGTTTTTTTTTTTTAATCGAAGCACATTCTCTCCCTGTCTTTGACGGCATAGCCTTAGTTTGATCAACATAGACTTCTTCCTCTGAATAATTATTTCAGAACATGGATTTCACATCCATTTGATAAATTTCCCAATTGTGTTATGCCGCCAATGAAATGAGTAATTGAATAGTCTTCGTCCTTGCAACGGGAGCAAATACATCATCATAATATATTTTGACTTGTTATGTAAAGTCATGTAACACAAGCCTTGCTTTGTAGTTTTCTACTTATCCTTTGGAATTCCTTTTCAACTTGAAAATCCACTTCAAGCTTACATGTTTTCCTTTTGGAAGATTTTCCAACTTCCACGTATGGTTTTTCATATTAGCTATTGTTTCATCCATCGTCTTTCTCTATTTTTCATATTGAATTGCTTGATAAAAAATGATAATCTTTGAATTTTCATAAAGAAAATAAATACTTTCTACCTCTTTCATTTAAGCATATTTGTTGGCCAAGTTTCTTCTCCAAGGAGACGGAGCTAATGAACCTTATGGTGACTCTATCAATACTGGTGAACATGAAGGAGTTTCAGGGAAGTCTCATATAGCAAAAACCTTGTCACCATCTGTTTCTGATTCTAGTGGCAGAACAATATGCGTATGCTCATTCGGCTCTTAAGTCCAGTAGCTAGTTTCATCAAACTGCACATCCCGGCTTACAACCAATTTTTTATATGTGGGATTATATAATTTGTAGCCTTTTGACCTTTGATCATATCCAATAAACACAAACGTTTGGTTTTTCCATCGAGTTTGCTCCAACACCCACCTGGAAGTTAGACATTTGCCAAACACCCGAAAACGCTCAATTGTGACACACTTGGTTTCCAGCCACTCCATGCTTATTGTGGTTTTATGTTTTCCAGCTCTTTTGTTGGACTTCTACTACATAAGTGGACAACTCACACCACTGCCTCAACCCAAAAATCTTTCAGCATTCGCTTATTTTTCAACATATTTCTCACAATGTTCATGATCATCCAATTTTTATGTTCCACATCTCCAATTTTTAGAAGAGTATAGAACCATCAATTGACGGTCAATTCGGAGCTATTCACAAAATTTTTCAAATGTATTCGATGGAAACTTACCTCATCGGTCGGTTCTTATCGACTTGATTCTTTGGCATGTTTCATTCTCCACTTGAGCCTTGAAATTCTTAAACACATCGAATACTTCTGATTTCTCCTTCAAAATACACATATGTCTTGCGAGAATGATAATCTATGAACAATAAGTAGTATCACTTGGGCGAGTAATTTTTGCCATCCCATAAACAATTTTTTTCAACATTTTTAAGCCATCAAAGTTTAAATGCCTGTATCCTTGATACCAAAGTCGTGTGGTGTATGCAAATGCCATCTTCAAGCATTTGAATTATCAGCTTTGATGATGAGTTTGAATATCCTATTATTTTTCATCGGCACCTTTGTAATCAACCTTCCCAAGCCAGTTTGTATGTTTATAGATCCATTATGTATGCCCAACACATAATCTTTTCCGACCAACTTCCCAATGCTTAGAATATTCGATTTCAAAGCAGGCACATAATAAACATTTGAAATAAACTCATGATTTCCATTCTTTAGTAAAATAGGTATATTTCCTTTTCCTATAATCGAAACATTTGAACTATTGCCAAAAGAAATATTACCTTTTACCGACTCATCACCCATCATATGATTACTTGCACTGGAGTCAAGATACCATACCAACAAGAATTCCTCATTTTCTTCATGGCATGTTAGCAACATTGTGGAACGCCCTTGGTTTTCATAACCACGACCTTGATTCCAACCTCAACCTCTACTCCGTGTTTGTCTTCTATTATCTTGTAGGTTAATTTTTGTTTGAATTTTGTGGGCTAATGGTTTTTCTCGCCTTTTGATTTTTTCTTCATATTCTTGCAAAGACTGGAATAGATAATCTTAAATTTTTCTCATTCACCCAAGCATCGGTTAAGGTTTAGTCATATCTCATGATGTGATACCCTACCCGCAAGCCACACAAATTCGGGTGTGCACTTCTGTCCTCACTCACGCGCACCCTGAGATACTTTTCCAGGGGGTCATCCATCATAAAATTACGCTAGTGCAAGCACGCTTAATTCCAGAATTCTTTCAGTATGGCTCCCGAAAAGAAATGTGCACATTGTTGACATGAGTGGTCTATTCAATCATTTAACCTTTAATCAACTTCAGATTGGCTAATACGGCTCATCCACACATGAGGGTTGGCCAAGCAACGACCCAACTCAAGGGTATCACACCCCCCCACACTTCAGAATTCAACGTCCACGTTGCACCTCAAGGATCGTCAATTGATAGGCCCCTTAACAGTTAGATCAACGACTATGGGTTGTCGTAGGTCGGCTCTAATACCAACTGTGACACCCCGGCCAGCAAGCCATGCAAAACTAGGTGTGTCGGGATTGTAGACTAGCTCTACAGATAAATACGAGTCCTTCTAGCACACTTTGTCCTCACTCACGCGCATCTTAGGAGACTTCCAAGGGGTAACTTATCCTCAAATTACTCTAGGCCAAGCACGCTTGACTCTAGAGTTCTTTCGGTAGGGTTCCCGAAAAAGAATGTGCACATTGTTGACATGAGTAGTCTATTCAATCTATTTAACCTCTAATCAACTTCGGATGGCCTAATACCGGCTCATCCACACACGGGATTTGGCCGAGCAATAGCCCAAGTTCGGGGTATCACATCCTCCACTAGTTTAGAATGCAACGTCCACATTGCACCCCAAGGATCGTCAACTGCTAGATCCTTCACCAGTTCAGCCAATAGCTATGAGTTGTCGCAAGTTGACTCTGATACCAACTGTGACACTCCGGCCCACAATTGTTGACCGGACTAGTGACGGGCCTAGTAGTTAATGATCCTTGGAGTGCAATATGGACGTTGCATTCTTAAGTGGGAGAGGATGTAATACCCCCGGAGTTGGGCCGGTGCTAGGCCAACTGTCATGGATGAGCTAGTGCCAGGCCATCCGAGGTTGAATATAGGTAAAATGGATTAAATAGTCTACTCATGTGAACAATGTGTATATTCCTTTTCGGAAGCCCCACTGAAAGAACTCTAGAGTAAAGCGTGCTTGCTTTAGAGTAATTTGAGAATGGGTGACCCCCTGGGAAGTCTCCCAGGGTGCACATGAGTAAAGAAAGAAACATGCTGGAAGGACTCGTGTTGACCTGTTGGGCCAGTCTACGATCCTGACATGCTCGACTCCGCGTGGCTTGCGGGTCGGGGTGTCACACTTGAATTGATATGCCACCAACAACGCCTCTTTCATGTGAAGTGATTCAAACTCACCTCTCAATGTTTGTAATCCTTTCCTTGACAAGCGTATTAGAGAATCTTCGAGGCCTCTTTTGCCATTGTGGCTGTGGGTCTTCTCGAACATTCTCTTTACCAATCACATTTTGATGAGAGTGAGAGCTTGTTGATATTTCTTCTTTTTTTTTTTTGTAAGGTTTCTCTTTGTACCGATGTCAATATAGTTTCATTCTTGGGCCCTTTATAACCCTTATCAACTATATCCTAAATATAATGGGGATCCAATAATGCTTTCATACGAATATTCCAATTACCCATAGCTTTCTTTGAAGCATCATTTATTTGTCAGCGTCCAAGGGGGATGAACGCCATCAAACTAAACTTGCCCGTTGAGACAACAAATGAGAGACAGTGGAACTCAAACTCGATACCTAAGGCTCTGATACCATATTTGAAGCAAATAACCGTGTCACCTAAAAATTTAAACTGTTAGAGATACACATCATTTATTTATTTATTTACAAACGGAGTCAACTAACACTTTCATTGCAAAAACATCCGTGTGGCGTAGTGCACCCCATGTGCTAGTATATATATATATATATATACAACGATATATATATTTCAATCTTAATCATCTAGATTTGTTGGTCAAAAATTATTTGATCAGATTTGTTTTGATTTGGGTCCGCTTCGATTCAAGCTAACAATGATGGAAATTTACCATGATTGATCGGGTGGCTCATGAGCGCCATAGCATCAGGGCGGGCTTTGGACCCTGGCGAAACGGGCGTATGCCAAGAGCCCCATCTAAATAGGGGTCCATTTTTTTATGTTATATATAAAATATTTATATATACAAATCATTTGATTTTAATGTATTAGTAAAGAAATATAGTTTGGTGGTTAAGTGATCTTTTGGGTTCAAACCCATGTATTTAAAATTTAAAAATATTTTTTATACATTTAAAAGAATTAGATAAACTTAATATTTTTAATTTTATTGATATTTTGTATATAAAAATGTTCGAAAATTTATTTTATTTAATAATTTATATTTATTATAGAGAAAAAATATATTATTTATGCATATTAGGGGCCTCTCATTTTTGTTTTAAAATTGTTTAGACAAAGTTAATATTAATACTATTATTGATATTTTATCTAAAAATGCTAGAAAAAGTTATTTTATTTAATTATTTATATTCTTATAAGTAGAAAAATTGAGCATGTCATTTATATATATTTAGAAGTCTTTATTTTTATTTTTTTGCATTAAAAAGAAAACAAGTATTATTATTAGTCTAAATTGTCAATAACTCCCTTATAATTTTGAAACTTAGCGTAAATTCTACGAAAGAAAAAACGTTCTATGAAAAAAAAACGTTTCATGAAATCATTTTTTATATTTTTTGGGTGATGAGAAAATAATTTTACATTTATATTTTTTTGCATGACGGAAGTTTCATATAATGTTTATTAAAGTATAATGGAATGTCACACAATTTTATTTTTAAAGTATATGAAAAATTTATGTTAAATTTCGAACTATATGAGAGTGATGAGCAAATTTGCCTTATTATTATTGATATTTTTTGCATAAAAAATAATACAAAAAATGTTTTTCTATTATTTATATTTTATTATAGATAAAAATATTATATATATATTTAAGGACCCTGACTTTTATTTAGCCCCGGACACTTCGAAAGTTAGGACTGGCCTGCTTAGGATAATCCGTGAGTCCATTGGATTTTGTTGTGCCAAACAAACAAACATACAATTATAATTATTTATTATAATTATATATATATATATGTTTTTATGACGTGGGAATCCACAACGCTTAATTATTTATTATATTTGTTTAGTTACTTGATGGACCTATATTATTCATAAGCCGGAGAGGCATTATTCAAAACTATCTAATTATTCATAAGCCCGAGGGGCATAATTAAAAAGTAATCAACCAAGGTTAAAATTACTTAGAACTTACCTATACTAGGACAGATCTGTCGGATTCTGGACGATATTCACCCATTTGGACATCTTGAAGATCCCTAGGCTTCAAAGGTACATAGTGCTCTCCTAGATACAGCACCTCCAAGTGATCCGACAAAGCCGACTTATCGATGCTTTCATGGTGATACGATTTGCAGACAAAGTAGATCACTGTCTGCACCACCAACCCCAACAAGAACAACTTGAACAGCAGCAGCAGGCACACCACCCCGAGTCCCACCTGCATCTCCCGCCGCCAGTAGCCGTACACCACCGAAACCCTGAACACGAAATTGATGATCGCCAACGACAAGTTCAGCTTGAAGAAGATCACCGCCGTCACAACCATTTTCCCTCTGATCAAATTCCTGCTCTTAGCCATGGCTCTGAACCCGCACGAATCCTCCAGCACGGACACCACGCTCGCCAGTTGCCAGATGATCGTCATGTAAACAAACCCCGCCGCGTACACACCTATTAAAACCAGGAGCACCACCGTCGCAGCCGTGTCGTGATCCTCCAACTCAGCCATGGTGAGGTGCCAAACATAAAAAACTAACACAAACGCTGTGTTGTAAACCACCAGGGCGAGGAAGATGCACAGGAAAGTGACCATCAGCCGCTTCCAAACCCTGGGGACGACGCTCATCACCCTCCGGAAGGTGACCTCACGCGCTGCATAGACAGATGCGATGGTGTAGACGACGGCGGCGGTGGAGAGAAGGGAGAAGGCGAGGAGGAACACTAGGTAGATAGCCTTGAGGAGTATGTAGGTCACCCATTCGGAGGATACCAGATCGGCCAGACGGTGGTAGGCTGGCGTGCCGGCGGTTGTGCGATGTAGCCGGAATTCGTTGTACCTTATCCGCCAGAAGAGGATGGTGGAGACTTCCTCGTACGCCAAGAAGATGAGGGAAAGAGGGAGGATTAGGGTTAGGGTTATTTGGGTGAAGATTTTCCCCCATCTGAACATCAGTTTGTAGGCTTCTTTGTAGATCCCAAAAAGCCCCAGAAACTGCATTTCTTCTTGCTCCATGTCCATTTGATTTTCTAGCTAATGGAATTCGAGGGCTTTCAATCAGCAGTGCAGATCAATCATTAATTATATGCATATATATATATGTTGTAGTTATAGTATTTCTTACCTTAGTTTGTGGGTTGAAGACAGAAATGGAGCGATCATTCACACTTGTACTTGAACACATATATGCATTGGATTCAACGTTTAAGTTCGGGAGGATTAGAATAAGCGACCAAAAGGTCAATTTTCTTGGTGGTTTTATATTCTATTTGATTGCAATGTAATGTTTGGATCTACAACAGAAAATTCTGGACGCCGTCAGTATATTTTAATTAAGGATAATATGTAAATATAAAATAAAATTCTAATTTAAGGTTAAATTAATTATATATTATAATTTATTTTTAAATTTTATAAATTACAATTTCATATATGCTACTAAAAAATATCAATTTTTTATTATTAAAAATAATATCACTTAATAACTAAATACTATTAATTTTTATATTATTTATAAGGTAACGATCAGAGTGTTGAATTGAAAAAATCAGCACTGTCAGCATACAGTTTTATTATACACAACATAGGTTGTGTATAATATATTGTGTATAATAATGACAAGTGATGCTGTGTATAATAATGACAGGTGATGTTGCTTCATAATTATAGCGTGTTGTATAATAATGTGTGGTGTGCTGAAATCAATTAGTATTTGTATTATATAAGACTATAGCATGTCCTGTCAATTCATGTGTTGTATTTGTTTTGTTGATTAATAATTACAAGTGTATTGTATAACAGTATGTAGTGTGCTAAAATCATATTGTTGATTAATAATTACAAGTGTATTGTATAACAGTATGTAGTGGATTGAAATCAAGTATTGATTGTGCTGTATAAGACTTAGTTCATATGCTGTATATGTATTATATAATTGCAAACGGTGTACTTCCAGTACTAACACCGTGTCGTTGAAATTCAACACTCTGCCGCCAAATTACAAATATACAATAAAAAAAAAAACCTTCGGTTATGCTCAAATGACACAAAAATAAATATTTATGGCACCAACGTCCATGCCATAAATAAGCAAAATAGAGTAACGTCACCGGCACCACCACAAAATAAATAATTAAATAAAAACAAAAAATAGCACCTGAAAACTAAAATAAGAGTAAGGGGATGTTTGGTTCAAGGATTTAATGGATGAGATTTGAATTTTAAAATCCCATGAAATCCATGTTTGGTTAAAAAAAAAAAGAAATTTAAAATGATGGGATTTGAAAAAGGGGTCTAAAATCCTACAAATAAGGGATTTTTTTGTAATGGGAATTTTAAATCCCATTCTTGAAATTTTAATTTTTACATTTATATCCTCTTATAAAAAAAATAATAGTATTATATTTATATAAAAAATTAAATAATTTTAAAATTAATTATTATTTGAATTATATATTTAATTAAATTTATATTATTTTTTATTGTACAATATTTTTTAAATAAATTAATAAATTCATTGTTTAATTATTTATTATAAATTTTATTTGAATTATAAAATTAGAGGGACGATCATAAATCGGGTTTAGTCGAAACTGATATTCATCCAAAATATATATTGTTAAATCCGACATTCAAATTGGATCTGATTATACTAGATCCGACCGAGACTATACCCGGTAAGACTTGATGGATCCGAAAAATCTATTTTTTTTTACAATTTTTAAATTTTAATTTAAAATTACTCATGTACCAGATCCAATGTATATTAAAATTTATGTGTTTTATTAGAAAAATATTATAATAAAATAATGAATACGTTAAACTAAAAGAATATTTTTATTATAATGATATTATGCGAAATTATTTTTTCATATGTATGGTTGATATATTATTATTATATTACCCTGATCATGACCCGGATCCAGGCCTAATACTCAAATAATTGGACTCAACTTCAAATAAATAGGTCGGGCTCAGTCGGGTCTCGAGTTTACGCGAATCTATTGTCATCCTATAAAATTATTGGTATATTTTCAATTTATATTAATAATGAATTAGAGGTTTAATTTGTTAAAATAAATAAAATTCATAAGAGGACAATTACGTCATTTAGAATATAAAAAATTCAAATCCACGAAATATAAATCCCACCACATTTTACCAACCAAACATAATATGGGATTCCAAATCCTAAATATAATAAATCCCATCACATATAAATTCTACTGTAAAATCCCAATCCCACCAAAAAAATCCATGAACTAAACAACCCCTAAATGATATGTGTTTAAGAAATAGTTTTTTTTTGGAAAACTTTTACTTTATTAAATAACTTTTAATTGTTTAACCAGTAAAAAAAATTAATTTTAGTATTTGATAAATTAAGTTTTTGAAATATTTTATTAATCCCAAAAATCTAATTTTTGAAACGTTGTATATCCTAATGTTTAATAATAGTTATTTTACTTTAATTTTTTTTTATTCCTTATTTCACATTTAAAATAAATCATTCCTTTTATAGATATTAATATATTTTTCATTGAAGTATTTATTAATTATATTAATATATATTTTTAGTTAATTTTTAAATTTACTTTTATAAATTTGATATAGTTAAAATTATTATTAATTTATTTATATATACTCTATTGTCTGTCACATAAATTTTTTTATTATTGATAAATATATTAGAATAAATTTATAAATAATAAAAAAATTAATTACAAAGTAACTTAATAAAAAATAATATATACAAATTTTCTACAAAATATTTAAAAAACAACAAAAAAAAATATTATAATAAAATTTTCATCATTTTAAAAAAGTAATAATAAAAATTTTAAAAAAATCCTATACAACTAATAACAACTACATATTTTAAAAATAAAATACAAAATATCCTTAATTATTATTTTTCATATAAATAACTAATATCAAACTGCTATTTTACCAAACATTTTAATACAAACTACTAATCGAATCAGTTAGTCAAACAAACCAATCGAATTAACTAATAATTATCAGTTAATTATCAAACAGGCCCATGCCAAAAACAGTGCAAAAAACTAAAATAAAAATAAATATTAAAATATGTTAACACTAAAAATGTACAAAAAATTAAAATTTAAATAAATAATAAAATGTACGGGCATTGAAACAGCGCCAATAACTAAAATAAAATAAATAATAAAATATTTTGGCATTGAAAACAACACCAAAAATTGAAAATAAATAGGCGCGGAAATTTTGTGCCACAAAATAAATTAAAATTAAAATTAAATATATTAGCAACACCTACTGTGTCACACCATAAAATATAATTTTTAATTTGTGGCCCTAATTTTTGTTCTAAAAAATATTAAAATAATTATTTTGGAGGAATATAATTGATTGCATTAATAACAAAGTCAATGTCTATTTATAGTCAGTGTCCATAACAGGATAAAAACAAAAAATAAAAATAAAAAAACAAAAAAATAATAATATATATTTCAATATCCTCTCAAGTTCAAATAGGCATAGTAGAAGTCAACTTGAGTTTATGTAAAAGAGATTGGAACCGAGCACGAAGATGTGACTTGGTAAAAAAACATCTGCAATTTGATCATTGGAGGAGATACAACATAGTTTTGACGTTGCCATGACTAACATGATGACGAACAAGATGACAGTCAATTTTGATGTGTTTGTGTGCTCATAAAAAAATCATTGTGAGAAATCTGAATAACATTCCTATTGTCACAATGCAAAAAGAAATAGGAGATAACTGCGACACGCCATGATCATCAAGTAACCAACGAAGTCTAAAGAGTTCAGAAGTAGTATCAGCAAGGACTCGATATTCGAATTCAGTGCTGGAACGAGAAACAAATGTTTGTTTCTTGGTACGCTGGGAAACAAGAGAATCACCAAGAAAGAAGCAGAAACCACTAGAAGAGCGACGATCTGTAGGATCGCCTTCCCAATCAGCATAAGAGTAACCTGATAAATTTAAGGGAGACTTATCTGAGAAGTGTAATCCATGCAATAATGTTCCTTTAACATAACATAAAATACACAGAACTGCAGAGCACTGAGCGGTGTGAGGTGCAGACAAAAACTAAGTAGATGTATAGCATAAACAATGTGAGGACGAGTGATTGTCAAATAAATCAAGTTCCCTACAAATTAGCGACATAGAATAGGATCGTCAAGAGTCTCATCAATTGGTGTAAGACGACAACCATCGTCAAGGGGTATCGAAGTTTGTCTTGCAATCAGTGAGACCAACACAGGAAAGCAAATCATAAGCATATTTAGGCTCAGACATGTAAAACCCATTGGGACCATCATAAATCTCAAAATCCAAGAAATACCGAAGGTGGCCACGACTCTTCATATCAAAGTGCTGCTGAAGGTAGCTCTGTATATCAGATATACCATAGTGATCATCCCCAGTAAGAATCATATCAACATAGAGAAGTAAAAAAATAATTTAGAAGAACTTCGTCGAATAAATAAGGCAGAGTCATGCAAATTAGAAATGAAACCAAACTTAAGAAGAGCTAAATTGAACTTAGAAAACCAAACATGTGGAGCCTGTTTCAAACCATAAAGAGCACGCCACAACTTACAAAGTTTAGAAGAATTAGGATAATCTGAAGGCAATGTCATATAAACATCCTGAGATAGATCACCATGGACATTCTTGATGTCCAACTGCAAGAGAGACTACTATTTTTTTTAAAAAAAAAACTATATAGCAACGACTGCATCCAAATTGGTTGCCTACATACCCGAACGGGATAAACCTTATTTAATTATGCTGATATTGACTACATAGTCTAATACAAGTAGTCAACAAACAAGATAAGCCTAAGTTCGAAGTATCAATGCCAAAGTCCAACTAAGGCACCAACGCAAATCAATACTAGCCTGTCACAAATATAATATCAACATCACAAGTCCAAAATCAACCAGGGTAAACCTGCTACCTGAAGTGAAAGCTGGGGAGTCCTTCAGTGTCCGATCGAGGAAGACCTCTAGTCGCCAAAGGGAGATCTTTCGAATGTAATATCCGCTCGATAGGAAGAGAAACCGGAAAAATTGCCATGGTATCCGCGAAGCGGTTCCCTTCCTTATGTGTGTGTGAAATCCGCCAAGACGCATCCCGAAGCAACAACCGAATACACATAAGACATTGCTGTAGAGTCCAGTGACTCGACTAAGAGAAGATCAAAGATATGCATGTTGTCGAGTCCGTCTCGATCCATAATGCCACCAATCCTTGAGCAATCGCTATCCCTACTCCAAT